TAAGATTGCAACTCTCCTAAGATTCCTCATAGCTTTACCAAGCCCAAGATCGCAACTGGTATTTACTTCTGAGTTATACTCTGGGACCTGCTGTTCATGTCCCAGAAAATGGTACAAATTTAATTAAGCCCCAAGGAAAGGAAAGAGTCAAACCCTGGCTGGGACTTGAGCTCGCGTTCTTCTTCATTCCACACTGCTTCATATTCACTGTATCCTGAAGGGCCTTTTAAACATGGCTGCTTGTTACGCGTCATATAAAAGACAATGAAAGAAGACAAACAGCAACACGTGTACAAATAAATGAAACTTTATTAGTACAAAAATTGTGCACCCAGCTATTGTGTAATATCCAAAAGGCTGGCACGTGCTCAACACGCCAACATCGGCGTTAGCAGATAAGACACTTTCGCTGCCAATTTTTTGCACAAACAGCCAAACCTGCAGAAAACTTGCAATGATCTTGAGTGCTTTTCACAAAACACAAGTGGAGACTGCATGTCTGCCAACACAAGAATCTGACCCACCATGTTTTGTAGTTGTGGGAAATGTTGAGGTTGCTTCTATATATAACCCACAGGCTAAACTACTCATCATTTTTAGGCATCAACAGAGAATCATCACGGATACAGAATTACAACCTGGTCACCTTTGCTTCGGGTTGTGTTTTCAATCCACTGCGTAACACTTTAAATGGACCATAACTCGTGGCTTTACAATTTAATTCACGTGACAGACTTTGGTAAGAGGCAAGTGTGCGAACACTCCAATACTTTTTAAAAGGGGCAGCTGTTTGGCACAAGTTATGTTTAATTTGGCAATGGATTCTATTCATAGCATATGTTTATAACTTGCCAAATGTGGTTATATTGCAATATTTTGACCAGACCTATAATCTACAATGTGCTTCTTAAACCAGTCTGTAATTTATTAAATTACACCAATCAAGAGATGACAGTGGCTTAGTCACCGACCTCTAAATTAAACAAATTACATGGCATGAAAAGTCAGGACCACATGGATTTTAACGTTTTAAAACTAAAAAAAGACTGTATACAATTACAATAAGTACAATATGTATTAAAACAAGGAATGGCATTGCATATACCCTGAAAGCAATGTAAAGGATGAAGCTTTTAATAAAGCATTAAACTATATGTACAAAAAACGAATTGTGAGAACATGCGCACTGGAAAGGTGGTACGATGGTTTGTGCGTTGTGCTATGCCTCCTGGCAATCGTTAATATTAGTGGCAATTCAATACTGAACGGGAATTTCCCTTCACCAACCCGCACTGACCAGCGTGAAGTATGGTCGATCAATACCCACAGCTGACACGGCATGGGGAGGCCTTCACCCAGCAGTAATTGACAAAGAGCCTGAACACTATTGTTAATTTTATACAAAACTAAAAACGTAACAGTATCCTAAAGTTCGGCTTAGCATTTTAACACCAAAAGCATCAAGGTGGAATATATAGTTTCCAATGTCTTACGGGGAACTCGTTTGATTAACACGTGAAACTCGTAAACATGACGTGAAATTGGAAAACGCTCAAAGTGCAACTTAATAAACCAACCACTCACAACCGACGTAAAAAAGTATTCGCAACTGACATTAGGCAATAATTTAAGTCACATAAAACAATGATCTCAACTCTTGATTCAACAAGTTATTTGGCAATACTGCATTGTCAATGGTCCACAAGCACATAAAAAACGCAATACATTCGTCAATAGCACTGCCTTAAAAGGAAAAAAGTATATACAGGTTTCCCTTGCTTTATGTGGGTTCAGTTTGTGCGATTTCTAGGATATGCAGCTAGCTCCTTTCTACCCACGATTAGCTACATGCGATTTTAATTCACTCACATGTGGTTGGACTGGGACAACATTGTGTGTGCTGCATACGCTACTCAGCAGGCAGCTGTCTCGTGCAGTTTCACTTCATATGCCATTTTTTTGAAAAGTATCTACCACATAAAGCAAGGGAAATCTACAGTAGGCAACATTTCTGGCAACACAGTCTTTCTTCACAGCATGTAGAAAGGCCAAAGAGAGCCTGACTGTAGGGTCCCTGAACTGATAACAGGTACCACACCAAAGACAAAGATCCTCCAGAACCTTCACAGACTGTTGGGGCAAGTGCTGTTAGCAAGCACCAATGAAGGCTGGCACGGCACAAGTTGGGGTGGGTGGCCAGCACCATGCCTGGCCACCTTTGTCCCCCTGTGGAAATGCTTACACACCGCACCGGGTACTCATTTGAGGCCGAGTCGAACGAGGGATGGCCCAGGACCAATTCAGATAGTCGTCACTGTTGCTGGCCGTGAGCGGGAATTTAACTCGGGTCGCCGCATTCGTAGCACGGCGCGCTAACTGCTACAATACCACACAGGCACAGGTACCATCACACACTCATTGACAAGCATGGACCATGTTGGCAGTTTAGCTGGCTCAGACGAGTCCCGTGTTCATTTAAATGAGCAAAAGACATTTCATAACGTCATGGCGGGGATGAAATACTGCAGGATGTGGTCTTCATGAAACATGGTGAAGTGCAGTAGGCTGTTGTCCACTATGTCTGCATACCACACCACAAAACATTTTCAGTATAAAATTGCCCAGTCATTGCGGTACATTACTGAAAACCAGCACTCTTGAGGACATCTTAGAGCTATGCAAAAAGCATTGTGTGCGTGAGATACCCAACTTGCAGGTGGGTGAAATGTTAGATAGAAGACAGTACAAAAAGGTTAATGACCTTATCAGAATTAACTTTAGAATTGACGTAACATCATGAGCAGGACCCTCTAGAGAAAAGTGTCTTGAGAGAGTGGGCAAAATTATGAAAGAATGAAAAGGTGATTTCATGAAAACCAGAAACCAATAAGGTGATTTTATGAAAACCCGAAAAGGATTTTAGTCAATGATAAATCGTTTCAGCATATTATTAAACTAAGACCAACTGAAAACAATGCTATTTCAGAGCATGTGGAATCACAAAAACAAGGCTTATCTCAAACAATTTCAAAAATGTTTAGTTTGTTGACCTCCCCCCCCCCCACACTTCCGATTAGCATGCTTGGCTACGTACGGTGCGAAAGAAGTTCAACATACATACAACAAACATGCCATTGTTTCATCTGGTTACTCTCAAAATGTCCATGAACGTTTTTCAGGTTTTGTATCCAGCTGGGTGGTGAAGTGACAATGCACTCTACTCACAATTACAAGTTGTGAGTTCAGTCAGGGGGTTAACAGAGCCAACTATCATGCCTCCGGTGCTATCAAAATGCTAACCACACAGTAGAATGGTCAAGTGGTCATCCTACGGAAATAAGGGGCCCATCCTAAGAATGCAGAATTACAATCACAGGCAAGGAGCTGTGAACAAAGGTGACCAGTGCCCAACTCTTACTCTCGCTGAGCAAGGAGACACTCACTCCTTGTTGAGGGAATCGTCATGCTTCAAATACCATTCATATCACTGTCAGCGAACCTTATCAATCAGCATTCGTTGCTCTCAAGAAGAACATTAATTAATAGGTGACACTCACTGCAAACAGCCTTTTTCGGAGTCATCAGTTGGCTGGACACAAACTGCAGCAGTTTCCGGATGTCCGTGCGTGCACTCGCCATTTCTTCTGGGTCTCGTTCCTCTCCCCTTCTCTGCTGTGTGCTGTCACTCACTGCACACACACACACGAACAGAGAGAAACACGACCCATTGAGGTTCATCGAATGTGAAAGCATAATCTTGTAGAAAGCACCATTTACGGCCAAGATTGTGATGCCAGCACGGTACACACCCAGCCACCGTTGTCTCATTTGCAGTACCTATTTTAGGGTGAGCTGACCTTTCAGAACCTTGGATAGATTTTAGTTAAAAGCTGAAAAAGTGATGTGCATGCAACAATATTATTCTGGTCACTGGGATTGTATTGCAGTGCATTAGTACGTCACCCATATATCTACATGTTCCTGGGCAAATGTGTGCATAAGAATGTGCGTGTTTGAGTAGGAAAGTGGTGCAGTGGTTATTGCACTGAATTACAATCCCAGCAATCTATACTGGATTAGTGGCTATTTACATCAATTACACATGGCATCTGAAGTGGTCCTGTTCCTCTCCTATATTCATGCAGCCTTAATTGACTACTTTGTGTAGCTCATCTCTCCCTTCAGAAGACAGAAGCAAAAAAGTTTGGTGTAGGCCACACCAACCCCGAGTGTGCTGTTAGCATTTGCTCCTTGAGACTTTGACTAAATTGGGAATCTTGTATTGAAATATGTGTGTGAATGGGTCTGTGTGCGTACGTTTACGTGTTACACAGTTTCTTACGCAGTGCATTGCGCGAATGGGTAAGCATTTACCCCATGGTGCCTTTCCCAGGTCGTGGAAATGTGTGGTCACAGTCAAAAGCTCGGTCTCTATCTTGAGGTTCATCTCTCCCTTCTGATTGGCTTCCACCACCTGTATGGGTTACGATGTCATAGCACAGTGACATTCAACACGATGGGCATAGTGCCTCATCAACCAGCACTGACACACGAGCGCACAGAATGCTTGCACGCACCACAAAGTTGCTGAAGCTCTTCATCCGTTCCAAGAAACCCTTCAGTGTCTTCAAGGGTGGCAGGTAAATACCAACCTGAAAGTAAAAACAAAATAGTATGTACAGGACAGAATGCAATATATTGTTCAAGAATGAAAAAATAACGTCAGCATATAAATAACTCATTTAATTCCTCAGGGAATCCCATGCACTGAGTGTTGAGACTAAATTACAAGACGGTCCCTGAATTTGGATGCTTGGCCATCCCAATGATTGATTTCATTGACCGACTCAAACTCCAGTTGCTAAGCAGAAACATGCTTGAACAGTACATGGATGGGTGATCAACAGTTAAAGTTAACACACCTCCCTGCTCAAACAAGCAACAGAGCGGTACTTATTTATATTAGAGGCCCAGAACCAGTGATACAAATTTCACAATCCTATGGTGGGGTCCAGTCTGTACATGGAACCACCAAATCTGACATGCCACAAAGTGGTACTCAGTTTATTGATTGCAGAGAAAAAAAAAGAATGAAAAAAAGTAATCAACCAGTGCATGCTGACCACCATTGGAAATCTAAGTAATGTCGTTACACCCCAACACTGGTGATCGTGCAGCTCACAATCGGCTTGTAGCATTTCGCCCCCCTCAAGATGCAATGATTTGTCACAATTCAAGGGCACAATTCAATTCAAGAAAAGATTCTTGTGTTAACACTGCAGTGAACGTGGAGCCTGCCTCACTGCGTCATCTGGAGGCACAGCAGGTGATGTTGTGCCCCCTCGGAATCTGTGCACATATGATGCATGACCTTACGAATTTATATTAATCGACAAATTAAAGTAGGAATGAAGCACGGGTGAGTGAGGCGGTGCGGGGTCTCACATCAAAGTCGGGCATGCTGGGCTCACGGTAGTCACACCAGATCTGTCGCGGCACAACATACACGGGAATGTCGTGCGTGACCACACGGCTGCATCCTGTCACTGTCAACTGTGGGCAAAGAGCAGGGAGAAAAACACTTGCATTTATATTGAACCAATAATGCAACAAATTGCTCAGCATGTCGTGTATAAGCCGAGGGGGATCCCCTCGTGGCAGCTGTCGTTGTGTGCCACAGGGTCATGAATGCTTCTTTGTTTAGTTTGTTGTCCTTCCCCTCGCACCTCCTATTAGCATGGCTGGCTACGTATGTTGTGAACGAAGTTCAACATACATGCCTACAGGTCACGCAGCACTGGCCTGCAAGTGGGCAGTAGTCTCTGAGTAAGGGGTAGTATTGCTATTCCTTTTTCCAATGAAGCAATTAATGAGTATATTTTCAAATTCGGCACACAGGGCCTACACTTTTTCGAATGTCATACAATCTTTAACATCCAGTGATGTCACAAGGTGGGGAGAGGCACAGTAAATACATGACAAGCATCAACAAAACGCAGCACAGGTATATAACAAAAGGTTCAATAAAAACATACCACCTTCGGCACTAACAATACCTTATGATAAGAAACTACCCAGAATACAAATAAGAATATTTTTGGCAATGGCCCTTCTTCACAACAAGGCTAAGTTGAGCTCATTTTCCATGAGTACCATGGTCACTTTTGTGATACACATGTCAAAGTATACTCCTGCTTAAATGAGCATTGGGCTACTCATCTCCAACAACAGCAGTGAGCATTAATGGAACTATTCATTTATATGATGGCCAGTCTATAAATATGACTGTTGACTTTCCAGAAGTTCAGATCCAGGAGGAATTATTGTCTCCTTTACCTTACAAATGGGATTTTAACACACAACCTTCCAATTGTGAGTCAAAGGTTCTCGCCAGTAACACCTGATCAATAAATAATGTACACGTGCAGCCCTTTCATCAATACACTACTGGATAAGAGCTCTGCACACTGTGTGGGCCATGGGGGTTATCTGACCAACTTCACAATGCTGGTCAATGTGGACTATATGTATGTTGAGCTTATTTCACACCGTACATAGCCAACCGTGCTAATCGGAGGATTGGTAAAGGTGGGGAGCATACATTTTGGAGAATGTGATAGAACAGCAAATTGCAGGGCAGTTATTTCTGGTTCCCTCAATGCATCCCTGCAACAGACGACACTAACACCTATTTAATGCACGGCGTCTGCCCATCCAGTGTTCAGGCTCAAACCTGCTTAGTTTCTGACAATTCGTGCGATTGGGAACATTCTAACTGAATTGGTGAAAGGCAACCAACTAAATCACGAATATTTTTTATGTTTTTTTGCGAAGGAGCGGGGCTGGAGACTCTGCGGAGCTCACCAGCTCCACGGCGAGCGTGAGGCACGGGCAGTGCTTGCGAGTCAGCTTCATCTTGACCGTCTTGGCTGCCTGCGCTGTGCGTAGAGCACGGGACACGCTCTCGGGTGCCACGTCAAGGTAGATCTCGTTGTGCTCCGCAGAGACCCCGTCCATCTGGTACTTATCGAAGAAGTTGGCCTGGCGTAGGTGGGATGTGACGGGTGGAGAAGAGAGACATGCACAAGAAGAGCGGCCAATAGGGAGCACCTTTATACGATCAACACAATCAGCAGAACTTTAAGGGAACTTGACCAGGCGGTGTCACGATTAAAGATCCCAAAACACAATTGAAGTACCGAAATTTGGCTCGGACCATCACCCCTCTGGCGTCAATAACACCACCGACATTTTGCGGGATGCCACCACCTGTGTCCAGGTCGCCACAACGCACCGCTGCCGATTGTACCGATCTCAGAAATGATGCATCATGTACCGTACATCCAAGACAATGTATATGACACGTCCCTAAAGTGCAACATGTCACTGCGAGTTGAGGCAGTAGTAACCAACCTGATGTAGCTCACACCACAAGCCCATGCCACCCTGGGAGGCCCGGTCAGACAGCGTGAAGTGCAGATGGTCAGGGGTGATGCGCATTGTGCATGCCTTGGTCAGCTTGGAAATGCTGGTGAGCAGACCTGCAACAAAAGCCACCAAATCGTACCAGAATATAAATAAGCAATCGGCCTCCCATGTATCTGTTCCTCCACCAAACCAAAAAATGGGAGTGCAGAATCTTAGCGGCGTATCTAACAGGGAGGGCCTCGGGCCCTTGCCTATGAACATTTTGCAATTCACAACCATTGGTTAAAACCGGACTGCTGATGCGCCACTGAATGGCGAAGCCAGTTGTGCTGAACTCAATGCTGCTGCAACTCTGCCCTCCCAAGAAGGCCGTGCGACTGATGGAAAGTAAAACAAATAACGTTACACACGTGACGAACAGCCTTCTTATTTATGTTTTCTAAGAAAAAGCCGAGGACTTTATCAAGAACACCATGCTCAGAGAGCACGCAGTTGACACCTGATTGAGACCCAGGCGGAGATGGTACGGTACTAATTTTATCGGCCCTCCCATCCGTGAGCTCATTACAGTAAACACCGACACAAACCAGGTGCGGTGCACACAATACGCACACACCGAGACACCGTCACAAGGTGCAATGCTTTACCAAGTACCACCACACATGGAGGCTGTAAAGGGAGGAGGGGAGGTGTATGGAACGAGGGTTTTATTCGACTGCGTGATGAATGTCACGGTTACTGTTCAAAGTGCAGAGCGCGCAAACGCGACGGGCCCCTACGTATGAAGTGGTTGATGCAAGCCACGTCCACAAGGCTCGCCCGAAACCGCATCGCCTCCGTAAAGGTCGCACACCGAGGGTCCCGAGAACTTAGGTCTGTGGTGTTCTTTTGCTCGAGCTGTCCCCACGAAGAGTGCCGGATTTGGCGCGCCGGGCCGCGAACTCGGCTAGAGGAGCCCCGGGTTCACTTTGGGCGTTTCCGGGGCAGTGGGCGGGGGGTTGGTGCTTGATGGGCGGGGCTTGAGCATCGGTGGGCGGGGATTGGTCATTGGTAGGCGGGGCTTGAGGCTTAATGGACGGGGCTTGAGCATCGGTGGGCGGGGCTTGATGCTTAATGGGCGGGGCTTGAGCATCGGTGGGCGGGGCTTGAGGCTTAATGGGCGGGGCTTGAGCATCGGTGGGCGGGGATTGGTCCTTGGTAGGCGGGGCTTGAGGCTTAATGGGCGGGGCTTCAGCATCGGTGGGCGGGGATTGAGGCTTAATGGGCGGGGCTTGAGCGTCGGTGGGCGGGGCTTGAGGCTTAATGGGCGGGGCTTGATCATCGGTGGTCGGGGATTGGTCCTTGGTAGGCGGGGCTTGAGGCTTAATGGGCGGGGCTTGAGCATCGGTGGGCGGGGATTGGTCCTTGGTAGGCGGGGCTTGAGGCTTAATGGGCGGGGCTTCAGCATCGGTGGGCGGGGATTGAGGCTTAATGGGCGGGGCTTGAGCGTCGGTGGGCGGGGCTTGAGGCTTAATGGGCGGGGCTTGATCATCGGTGGTCGGGGATTGGTCCTTGGTAGGCGGGGCTTGAGGCTTAATGGGCGGGGCTTGAGCATCGGTGGGCGGGGATTGGTCATTGGTAGGCGGGGCTTGAGGCTTAATGGGCGGGGCTTGAACCTCGATAGGCGGGGTTGGTCCTTGGTAGGCGGGGCTTGAGCCTCGATAGGCGGGGTTGGTCCTTGGTAGGCGGGGCTTGAGCCTCGATAGGCGGGGGTTGCGATGTAGTGGGATTAGCTCGAGACTCGGTGGGCGAGGCCTGAGGTTTGTATTGAAATTGGCTTGCGAATCAAACCTTGCAAGCAGAACTAAGATAAATAAGAACCAAGAATATAAGATAAATACTGCTGATGAGACACTGCATGTTGAAACTGGTCCAATTTTCTTGAACTGAATCATTGCTGCTGAAATTATGCACATCCACAAGGCCGCCCAGCCGATGATTTTGTAAATAAAACAAAAATTGTGTTGACAGGTAGTGCTGCTTGATCGATTTTAAGCCGAACCACTACGGGACAAAGATACTTTATGTTACAAAAAGTCTGCTAAGGTGTTAAGGTGGAGTAGATCAAATGTATACCGAATTAAACAAATTCTAAATGAAAGCACTTACGTCAAAGTCATTCCAGTTTGGTTGCCTTGAAACAATTCTGCTGAAATTATGCACTTCCAGAAGGGCTGCTTGTGGTTGACGTGTTATTTATTGCCAGACAGGGTAAAGCGTATTCTTATATTTTTCATAATTTTGATAATGGCAAAAAGGTCCCAAAGATATTTAACAATTTTGTTTGTTTGTGCAAACGGATATTTGACACTATCTGCTTAGCCATTTAATAATGGGTGGCTTAGTACTTAGTACGTGGGTGTTTAGTACTCAAGTACTACAGCCCAGGAATTAGCCAGCGTCTCTCATGCAAGCGCCCAGCTAAACACGGGAACCACTAGTCATTGCCGCGTGTGCAGGGCCACAGGAAATGAACATAACAAATGCAAGTCATCCTAGAGTGGCAGGAATCGAGACTGGCCGAGCCTGTTAAAGATTCAGACAAGGTGGCTATTGTGCCACGTCATAGCCCAAATTCATGAAAAGAACCAGTTGTAAAATGAATAACTATAAAAAAAACACAAGCAATTTTCAGCTCATCTCGTTAAATGGTGATACAAATACACTTGATTGCAGCTCATCTGGTTAAATGGTGATAAAAATACAATCTTGATTGCAACTTCTTCAGAGGCATGTGCAATGCCATGTTAATAGTTTTAAAGTTGGAAACAGTCAAGTTTAAGAAAGCTGCGCTTTATTGTATGCAATGGAGGAAATTGTCGTACATCAGATTAACATGTGTAGTATCGGTGTATACACACATTAACACGGCAGTAATGGTCTTTCAAATGTCCCTTTTAAGCCAATGGTGCAATGCCACACCAACAATGTAATCTCTTAATAATCGCATGACATTTATTTTTCTAGAAAGTAATAACATTTGACTTAAATTACTGTGGTTTAAATTGAGGCAAATATTTTGCCAAATATGCAATATTGCATTACACATCAAATTAACCATTAAGCCATAAACAAGGCAATGATGACAATTTACATAAATGCCATTTGTACAAAGAATGTCATGTTGCCATGATAAATAAAGTATGTACTTTTCAGTTACACATTAGAAGTACCATAATCAGTACAATTATCTTATGGATATACCGTATAAAGAAATAATGCATGTTTAATATCACAGCAATCCAGTCAACTTTTTTTGCATAGCCCCCTTTGCTGTTGTCAGTCTTGTTGAATATACACCTTTTTGTTGTTAAATACATTCATCAGCGGATGTTTAACATTTTTAAATACAAGTCGGGCTGATATGGGACGTTTTGGCGACTGGAAAGACACCCCACCCAAATCGCCTCAAGTCCTCTTAGATCCATTGTTTTCTTCACTGCATCGTTTAGTCATAGGGTCATTCTGTCATGTGTTTATTTTACATGATCAATTATATTATCCACAGGAAAGCCCCAATGCTAACCGTGACTCAATAATCCTGAATTCCAACACTAACCCAAAGTGCGTAACACTCACTTTAATAATCACCATAGCGCAACCCATAACCCAAGGAGGGTTCAAAACATTGTCAACGCTTTAATAAGAACCTATATATATGAGACTTGAATACGATATACACTTTTGACATTTATGTTAATGACCCATAACAGCAACAAAAAACTAACGAGGTCAACGTTTTAGACGGTGCTGGAGGAAAACCTCGTGTGTTTGAACGACTGCAGCCAGATGAGGTTCAGCGATGGGACTTGCTCAGACTTGATCGAGTTCCTTGGTCCTGTTCTGAAGCAATCGACCAGCTTCGCTGGAGCTCCCAGGGCCGTGCGAGGTCGGTTTAATTGTTGGAATGGCGCTCCTCACTGCGTGCCTTTGCCGCCTTCACTTCGTCATCGATGTCATCGAGGAAACGCTCCTGTCCAACAGAGTAGAATGTGTATCCGTCTGCCGAGCAGGGTGGTGGATGGTTAAGGAAGCAGCAGAGATGGCAATAGGGAGAGGTCACTTTACTCTCGGATGGGTTTCTCATCACTTACAAAACATGTTAAGGGTTGGTTTACAGGTCAACGTGTTTGGCAGCATGGGTTTGTTTCAGTCAGGTGTTCATTTTATTCGAAAACATCGCCGTGTTTTTTTCATTACGAACCATCAGGGTAAGTGCTGACAGTATTTAAGACAATCATAAAAAAAAACTATAGAATGGTGGGTCTGGATCCAAGCAAACTCGCACGTCTATATCTTCCCAGTGTTTATTATAACAGAGCTAAAGAGAAAATCATCCTACGATGGATGGGTCGAATTGTTCAGACACATACGAGAGTACGCGCATAATCCAGCGCTACATATACAGCACAAGTCAAAATACAGATAACAGTACACGTGACGGTAAGTCTTGTTATACAATTCTAAGTGGAGGTTAAAGAGGTACTTATTTTACCAACCCTTGATTGGCAATGGAACGTGCAACTCTCAGCTTAGGGGTCCGCGACAATCGGTACTTAAGGGCACATTTTGCATTGACGACTTACACAAGACTTAGGCAAGTACAAGAGGAGAGCGCGGAGTGCGGATGAAGGAGCGGTGACGTGCACGAGTGCAATACCCCGTGCGATGCAATAGTGACCTGAAGTTCTACGCACAGTAATCATGCGCGATGATAGCACTGCGGCGACCCACGTACCGTGTGCTGCACCAACACGTGAATGTAGTCTTGTACCAACAGTACGGCCCGTTCGGAACTAAAGCTCGTACTATAATCGCGTACAGTATTAGCACAGTACGCGGCAAGGAGGGTCACCGCCAGGCTACGCGGCGCGGGGACAAGACGCGTGAGAGTACAACACAAGGGTAACAGGCCACGCAGTGACGCAGTGCACGGCAGGCGAGGGGCGAGCAAGCAGACAGGGGCGAGCAAGCAGCCGAGGGGCGAGCAAGCAGCCGAGGGGCGAGCAAGCAGACGAGGGGCGAGCAAGCAGACGAGGGGCGAGCAAGCAGACGAGGGGCGAGCAAGCAGACGAGGGGCGAGCAAGCAGACGAGGGGCGAGCAAGCAGACGAGGGGCGAGCAAGCAGACGAGGGGCGAGCAAGCAGACGAGGGGCGAGCAAGCAGACGAGGGGCGAGCAAGCAGACGAGGGGCGAGCAAGCAGACGAGGGGCGAGCAAGCAGACAGGGGCGAGTTTCGACGCGCCAAGGATACAGATTCCCAGCACAACGGCCCCCAGGCCCAGCGCCACTCCGATGTTGCGCCCTCGCAGGCGGTGCACGTTCCGCCGGAGCTGCTCGCGCTCCACGGTGCGCATGAAGTTCACCTGCTCCTGGCTCAGCTCGCCCGCACGCTTCGAGTCCACCCGCTGAGCGATTCGACCTTCGTCACCCACGCCGCCACCACCACCTCCCTGCGCCGCCATGACACCTGCTGAGTGACACCACGTGGTGGCGTGACGTCACCGCGCGTTGTGCAATGGCCGTAATCGGGGGTTTAGAGGGTTAGAAGCTGTCGAGCGCTCGTGTGGTGGTGGTGGTGTTGGTGGTGGTGTGATTAGTTTTTGAAGTTGAGTTGGTAATAAGGTTCATGGTCTTGGGGAAACATTTTTTGTTACAAGTGAAATATGTGTTTTGTTTAGGTATATTTTGTGAACTAAATGTTACGTTTGCAATGTAATGCTCTGTTTTATAACATTGAGATTGTGTACATGTTGCATCCCTTCTTAAACTGTAGATTGTATAAGGCAAGTCGGAATTGTATTCATCCAGAAATATCGAACCATACATATGCATGACTAATCTTTAAAAAACACGTACTTTACTGTCACTACAAAATCTCATTAAGTTACCCTTTCAAAGTAATTTGATGTTCACAAAGAAACACATTTTCAAAGTATAACACATGTTGAGTTATAGGGGGTTAATTTAGATTTTTTTTTCTTTAGAAAACTTAACGATTTTTTTTACAGCCAGCTCGACTATCGGAGGTAATAACAATGTTTCGTTTTATATAGAATCGTTCGTGCAAATTTCATCTCGCAATTACCGAGGAACCACAGACACGCACGTGGTGAGCCGATGCCAACAATTTCCAAGGCTCCGCAGTCCTCTATATATTAAGATGTTTTTTCAGCCAATTCACATTTCTACATGTAGGAAGAAACCGGAGCACCCGAAGAAAACTCACGCATGTGAGGGGGACAACACTCTATCCCATACAGAAAGGACAAATGAAATTAGTCCACACTTTGCTGTACCCATTTAACCTGGCAACCCCGGGCAAGGGAGTTTCGCAACGTTTGTTTCACAACATTTGTGCGAACCATCAACCCTCGCCTCCAGTGCTGGATTAAAGGGGTCCATAGCCACCACTGCCCGTAATTTGGGGATGGTTAATGGTTATCCTGCATAACACAACAACGCTGATGATGCAAAACATGAAGGAATGAATCTGTGACACTGCGTTGAAACATATAATGCGTGTGCTTTATTGCTTATCAATTCGTTTACCAAAACGTTTGTGGTCACGTAGTAACTGAGCCAATAAACCTCGTCGAGTGAGGTGCAATGAATAAAAAACAGCGTGAGCGTAAATATATTTTATTTCTTTCGCAAGCATGGTTAATCCGAAATCATCCATCCACGGATAATCGAACGTTGACTGTAATTACACCGACAATAATAAAAGCCATAATCTATGCGAAAATTATCTATTTAAACCTACAAACCGTATCCCAGCACGCTCTGCATGTCCAAACGATATCATCATTCTTGCACATATTTCGCACACATTTGCCTCCTGTCATTTATGTCCGAGTGACTTCATGCTGAAGAGCCCTCTCCCCCACGTGGCTATTATGTAGTCATGAGTCCTAATAATACTGCAACGAGACTGGCACACGGTTGTCCTGTGCTCCTGACGTTCTTGGCTCTATTGAGTGAGTGGCCATCACAAGGCCGTGTGTAGCATATGCACAAGATTGGTGATATTCATATTCTTAGGTTTTTTCGGTAAAGTCACGTAGGTAAAACATTAAAATTAATAAAAGTAAAATAAAATAAAAATTAAAAATAAAAATAAAATCACGACGTTTCGGAGGCAACACAAGCTTCCGTCTTCAGGTGGAACCGTCACAGCCACGACAGCTGTATCAAGTAAATGAGAGATTACAAGAGCTACTATTTACTTGATACAGCTGTCGTGGCTGTGAGGGTTCCACCTGAAGACGGAAGCTTGTGTTGCCTCCGAAACGTCGTGATTTTTATTTTATTTTACTTTTATTTATTTTAATGTTTTACCTACGTGACTTTACCGAAAAAACCTAAGAATATGAATCCTTGCAGTCACGAAAGCTTCAAATCTAGAAAAGATTGGTGATCTAATTTTTAGGCGCAAAGCATGCCGAGATTTCTGTTATCTATTGCTGTTTGACACATTTTTAGGTGTACGATGTATTGTCACTTGTTCCTTGCCTGCTCAAGTTATTTTGAATGATGAATGTCTGCTTCCACTCGAACAGGGAACGGCAACCAAAATAACAAATAAGCCATTTTTGTCAAATTCGGTAAAGAAACTCAATATTTCAAGAGCCGTAATGTATCTGACTATGAGACGGTGGTCCTTAATAAATAATGTCATGAAGCAGTCAGAAAAGAACCGCACCCCGCTCCGGAACCACAGGTTGCCGATCTCTGCACTCGACAAAGCATTAATATAATAACAAGCTCTTTTTTATGCCCTAGATTTATCCAGAGTAATTTTCATGAGGGTCCCACTTGGGATGGTGTGTGTGACTCACCAAAACTCATAAAACATACACGGTGATCATTCTATAAGGCCCACAACACAAACAGTGAATCACAAGACAACTTGATTGCTCTCGTGCCCCCTCCATCTTGACCCAAAGGTGGGGGTTGTCAACAGCTAAATGGCTTATGTCATTGCCATCTGTATTTACATAAAGGTTAAATAGTTTGAGGAAACCAAAATCAATAGAAAAATAATCATAGATCACGACATTTCGATCGCCACACAAGCGGTCGTCCTCAGATGGGAAAGAGGACGACTGTTTGTGTGGCGATCGAAACGTCGTGATCCATTATTATTTTTCTACGTGACTTTACCGAAAGAGCCAAAGAGTATGGATTCCTGCGGTTACGAAAGCTTCAAATCAAGATTAAAATCAATAGAGTTTGAGTTTATGCTGCGTTACAATGCTTGATTTAACTCCCAATTACATTGCAATGGTGCTATCCGTGTAGACTAGGACATTGCCTCGATTTTAAGCTTTCGTAACTGCAAGGATTCATACTCTTAGGGTTTTTTTTCGGTAAAATCACGTAGGTAAAAAAATAATGATAAAATTATAATAAATGAAAATAACTAAATTAAAATGAAAAAAATCACTGATTTAGTTTAGTTATTTTCATTTATTATTATTTCATCATTATTTTTTACCTACGTGACTTTACCGGAAAAAAAAACAAAGAGTAGGACATTGCCTTTGGACACATGCAAAGTGAGTGCATCACCTTGTGTCGGAGAACAGCCCTGGAAGATAACGTCACATGACTCTTTCTGAAGTCACTTCCTTAGGCCTGTTTATCCACACGAGGGCACTACTTACGTGGCTTAAAAATTGTTGTGAAAAGCTAATTTAATGAAAACCCTATTAAATATGATGGGTTTTCTTCTTCTAATGACATCATCACTGACTCATTACACTTGAAAACTCACTTGAACCACAAGTGGCTGCGGGGTTTCGAAGCCAGCATCTCAGCAGTGCTGGTTCAGTACCCTGACCCCTCAGTCAATTGGCCAGCTCCACGTTGTATTACTGAGTAAAATGTAGATAACCATAGGTTACTATTTCTATCTATGTGTAGACAACTTCGTATTTGCACGGTGGGCTACATACTGTGCGAAAGAAGTTCAACATACACACAAAGAGCCCGATGGATAGGCTGATGCTCCCATATCAACGTGTAATTTCGACCACCACCTCAGGAAGAGAACATAAACATAATTTGCATATTTTGGCATGGAGACACTTTGAACTGATGCTTGCAAAGAATCAATAAGAATGTACCTTCCAACACTGCAACAGCATAGGCCATTAAGAGGGAAATAACCCGCACAGAGTGAAACAAGCATGGGCATGCTCTGAGCCCTCATCACATCGTACTGATGCTGAACGTGAAAAATAAACAATGATGTCGATGTGACAGGAAGTTAGTGTTTGAAAAAGGCTCCCTCTTTACACAGGATATACTGTATAGCCTTTGGGGTCACGACCAGATACTGTATGCAACTTATTGTGGGGTTTAAAACGGTAATGATAAGAATAACGTTTTTTTTTATTTACCCAGGTAAGTCTCAATTTTATGAATTAGCAATTTTCACTTGGAAAGAAAGCAGAGCTTTGTGCAGATATAGTCGACAATCCATTCATGCGTTGCTGTCTCCTGGCTATCTCAGTCTATAGATTATACTTGGATGTTAAAATAATTGTAAATAAACATTATTTGTCAAATAAATTGATACAGTAATATTGTCATAAAAAAGAAAAGCTTCACTAATCCTTATCACATTTTCAGGATGGTCCTGCATTGAGATGTTTGGTCCAATTCCATGGGAAAAAAAAACGAGTACAGAACTGGACAACCCTAGCTCCTACTAATTTCTGCTCTCACCTAGGAACTAATAATGAACATCACGATCCCCTATTGCGTTTTCATTAAGTATGGATATCGCTTCCTATGCAGACACACTTCTGAATTCAATACAGTTTTTCATAATGAGTGGTAGTGCTATGAGACACTTCAATTTCCACCATCGAGTCAGGATTACACATGGATGAGTGTTGCTTCATTGCTCATTCGAGCAAAAACACTTTGACGTTCTGTTGCAGCAGCATATTGTTAATGGTTTCAACAGGAAGTTGTTTTTCATAATGAGTGTATATACACAATCCATCAAGATAGCGCACACGACTAAATGTACACTTTTTCTATACTCCAATTAATGTACCCCAAAGTTGTTATGGTGGGCACTTACCTATAACACTAGGCAACCCAGCCTTTGTTTAATGGGCTACATTCTACTAATGACACTCACGGAAAATAACACTCGACTATATTTTTCCCCTGGTAAATACTGAAGATTATGGTGAAATATATTGGTCCTGAAGGGCTTTTACATTTGGTATGAGTCAGCCTAATTCATATATTTCACTATTTATTGAATTCTTAAATCATCAGCAGCAGCCAGGTTCAATCCACTGCTGGATGAAGGCCTCCCCAAGCCATGGCCATTTCAGTTTTTTCTGCACTGTAATAATATTCATGTTGCATATGTATGGCATTCTAATGTATTCGTATCAATACCACACATACAGTGTGGATGTCTAAACTCACGTATTATTCTATCAGGTAAAGCCAACTGAGCTATTAGCTCTTCTTCTTGGTTCTTTCGGTAAAGTCACGTAGAATGGAAATAATAAAATAATAAAAATAAAACATAATAAAATAATTCTCACGACGTTTCGGCCACAACGCAAGCATCCGTCCTCAGGTGGAGAGCAGGTCTGTCGAGTAGACACACCTGCTCTCCACCTGAGGACGAGTAGGTCAAACCCACGACGCGTATACCAAGTGAGATGTCCCATTATCAGTCATGATTCACTGCTGGATGAAGGCCTCCCTACATGATGTCCACCCCTCACGGTCTCACGATGTCAAAATCCATTGAATTTAATCTCATTACTCCATCTCCTCTGTGATCTTGCACTGGGCATGTTCCCTCCTTTGGCTGACATTTCGCAGCCCTCTTTGTCCATCATCCCTTCCAGCCATATGCCTTCCCAAAGTCCATTTACTATTATAAACAGTCAATACAATACCTCTACGTTTGTATGTACAATATGTATACTAAAAGCTTGGTACTCATATCAATACTACACATACAGAATACACAATATACAGGCCCTTATAGAGTAAAAAGTACAATATTATTTCTAATTTGCCTTTCTGTACAATTGAAGGTTAACATTTGATACTCCAGCACGCTACATATAAACAGAATGTGTATGCACATGCTACATATTCACCAGAAAATAAATCATGCTTGCTACATTTTCACTTTGACAAAATCATTAGTATGTAAGGGTGCAAATAATTGAACCATCAAAACTAATAGTGATTTACATACAACATGCATTGTTGACATCTTTTTCATCGTCAGACATGCTCGTAGTTGTTCATTGGCATTTTCACATTCATTATTTTTCTTCACAGCTTCAAAATAGCCAGGGCATCAGAGTCTGATTATGTGGATGCTGCAACCCACTTCGTTCAGCACAAATTCCATGTTCTTTCTCCAGGAGTCCCATTACAGCTCCCTGTAAGTGTCCCTACAAACGATAACAACACATATTCAAAAAATAGAAATGTATACGTGCGAAATTTACTGAAACATGTCCCTGATATAGATGCAAAAATGTGTATACTTTTACATTCAGCCAGAATATTTTACATTATTGTTTAAAAGTCAGTCACTAAATCCATCTCTGATTTACTCAACCAATTTAGGTGTCTTTTATCGAACAACGTCACGAACATTTCATTCCAGCACTTTCTATAAACTATGAGAAAACCCATCACAGCAGGGAAATGCGTTCAGGCTGAGAACATTGGGATCTTGCAAAAGTGTGAGAATACCTTTGTGTGTTGTTCATTCCACAGACAATCGTTTGCAATGTATTACCATCAAGTCCTTGCGTTTTGTGGGAAAACATTGATTTAGTAGTAAGGGGCCGTCCATAAATGACGTCACGCGATTTTGGACGATTTTTGACCCCCCCCCCATTGTCACACATCGTCACAAATATCTGACCCCCCCCCCCTCCCAGGTGCGTGACGTCATTTATGGACGGCCCCTAATGGGAATCGAGCTTTTGATTAAAAACACTCAGTCGCAATATAAGGGTTATCATCCCCATCAGCCATGGTCAGTCCACTGCTGGATGGAGATCTCTGCAAATCGCCGCCCCCTCTCACAATTAGCACCTTCGACGAACGCGGTTGGCTACATACGGTGCGAAAGAAGTTCAACATACATATACAATCCTGCAATGTACTAACCCACCTATCACCTGCACGTGAACTGAATGGATTGTGCCATTTCCTCGGTGGGCATCCTCTTGGACACGTTTAATTCATTGGATGCCACTCTGTTATTAATCTTCAGCGTTGGCCATCCAGTTTAATAGTCTAAAGACGATTATTCCAGACTTGTGCTTTTTAGATAACGCGTATTTGATGGACACCACACGAACTCTTGCTAAATTAAAAAGGCTATTGCTGAGCCCTCAATGTGAATGAATGCTCCTCACATTACTGCTTGCAGCCTATGAATACGGGTGCGTATGAAACACCTGCTAAACAAGCACAATGTCAAACAGCATAATGCCTAGGCTGATGTTATAAAAACAGGTATTAATGCTGGATGAATTAAACAAACACATTTTTCAAACATCCACATTCCTGCTTGGGCTATTCAAGTTATAATCTAGGCGTTATAGGATCTGTATGTATAGGATATAGTGCAAATACGTACTGTACCTATATACAAAATATATGTATTTAATGATATGGAATTCCGTACCACTTAATAAATATCCGTTTTGCATTTTTTTTTTACGTAATGTAAATGCTCTCTGTTTAACCATTGCACTTGGCCATCCTGTTTGTGCATTTTTCTGCTATTCAATTTTCTGTGTCAATGTATGTTAAACTTATTTCGCACCTTACGTCGCCAACCGTGCTAATTGAAGGTGCGGGGAAGGACAAACATGAATACGTTTCTGATCCATATTCCATAGCAAATTATTTGGCGATGCTATGTTGGCAGTGGTACATAAAGCGCAATTAACAAAAAGCACTCAACACATTCATCAATAACACTGCCTTAAAATAATATATAGAGCAAGTGACATTTCAAGCAATGGCAATTCTTCATAGCGCATACATGTGCGCATAGATATGCTATGAAGAACGGCTATTTCCCAAGAAGTTGCTTATTGTATAATGATTCTGCTAAAGCAGTGTTATATAAGAATGTGTTGCGTTGTCATATTTCATAGAATGTGACATATACTAATTCAACAGTTATTTTTTCATGCAACATTGAGATGTTGATTTTTTTGGATTAAGTTTCGTTTTGCAAGAACACTCCAACCTGTATGAGTGCACACACATACCTACTGCGTTGTGTCTCGAATGCTTACGTCAAAACTAGTTTTGTTTATAAGAAAACGTAGGGTACAGAGACATTATTTACAATAACCTTTACATATTATTACATTAAATGAGTGCATATCCTCTGTATGATGGGGATTGATATGGTGATACCTGCTCCCACTAAAGCAATGTGGAATCAGTGGCTCAGGACGCCAGCGGAGATGAGCACAGGCCCACGCTTGATTTGACACTCAATTTCACTTTAACTACAATTTAGTCATACTCTTTGATTATTTCGGTAAAGTCACGGAGGTAGAAAAATAAAACAAAAAATAATATATCACGACGTTTCGATCGCAACACAAGCGGTCGTCCTCAGGCGGAAAAAATAATCCAGCAATCCAGCAGTGGGACTGCTGGATTATTTTTGATATATTATTTTTTGTTTTATTTTATTTTTCTACCTACGTGACTTCACCGAAAGAACCAAAGGGTATGGATTCCTGCAGTCACAAAAGCTTCAAATACAATATAGTCCCTTCATTAACATCCCCATATACCCTCGATCAAAACATCCAGATATATTTCAACTCCAAACCACAACACTCACCAAGCTTCAAAATTCACACTCTGTCCGCGTGCCGAATACGGTCTGGCTGCGACTCCAGCTCTGCCAGCCAGTCCCCCACCAGTAGCCGCTGCCGGTAGCGCTCCAACCTGATCGCTGACCCCAGAACATCGATCCTGCTCCGAGCCACTTCCAGCCTTTCCTGCAGAGCCACCCGTCCCATGTCATCTGCTCCGGGCAGCAGAGCCCCGAGCCGCTCCTCCAGCAAGTCGCGTTCGCTGCGTCGCGCCTCCAGCTCCTCGTTGAGGGCCATCAGTCTGGCCTTGCTGCTGTCCACCGAGCGTTTGAGCTCATCCACGCGGTCGCACCTGCTCACGGACATCTCGGACATCTCCAGCTGCGGGAGCTCCGAGGACAGAGTGCCAGGCGCAGCAGGACCGATGGCGTGCACGGTGGCGAGGGTCGCGCTGTGGGCATCCACCCACTCCCTGCAGAGACGAGCAGCCCGTAGGGCCTTGCAGAAGATATCGGGCACGAGCCGCAGCACCTTGTAGAAGGAGCCGCAGCCCTGGAAATGGAGCAATGCCGGTCCACTCTCGGCTGAGAAATATTCATCTCTGAGCTCATCGCCTCTCAGGAGCAGAGCCCACTGCTTTCGCAGGCGAAACAGGCACTTGGCGATGCGGGGCACGGATCGCTGTGGACCTCCCAAAAGGTGCTGATCATCATCGTGTCCTTGATGGTGATGTTCTGCAGAACTCGAGTCTTGGGAGTCACAGCTGCTCACATCTGTGCTGGGGCGGCTGAAGACACCAGAGGAGGTGGACTGGGCAGAGCCCACGCAGTGACGATTGGGTGCTGGCACCTGCACCGATCCCTCGTTCAAGTAGAGGTTCTCGCACAGGGGGATGAAAATGCGCTCATCGAACACCTTTTTGAGAATGACCAAGTAGCGCACGTATTCAGCAAGCCAGGTGAGGTAGGTTCTGACTTCGGAGGATTCCACTTGTGGCCCACCTAAATGTCCTCTCCCTCCTTGTCCATTCCCTATTTGTCCCCCTCTCAACTGTCTTCCTCCTTCGCTTCCTCCTACATGTCCTCTTCCATGTCCTGCTCCTGAAGGTCCAGCACGCTGTCCTGTTCCTAAATGTCCTCCTCCTCCCCTTGCTTGAGGACCTCTGAGAGCCGCGAGCCCCGTGATTTCACTGCGCTGAGACTCTGAAAAGATCCTCAGCATGCGGTACAGCAACCCTACATCGAACGAGGACCTACAAGATGCGACGTGCTTCTCGAACGCATCAATACGCCTCTTCAGTTTGGCGGAGGCTGCTTCCATGTCGACGTATTTGTAGTAGTGCAAAGTGGCAGCCTTCGTTGTTATGTGTTCGAGATGAAATGGCTTGTGCTTTAAGTAATTCTGCGGCCCTAAAAAAAAACCTCACTGACTCACTGCTGCTAGAGCGTAACACGCTTGCTCTTTCCTTTTCAATTCACGCATTGAGCTTGCAACACCCAGTGTGGCGTCACGTACAGACACACAAGCTCCAACAAGCCCTCCCTCCCTACTCGAGCCATCCCAACACGTGCACCCCACCCGCCCGCCTCTCGTGCCATGTGCACCTCGCTACCTCTTCACCTGCCCACCTCGTGCGTTTATTTCTTCACCTCACATCTACTACGCCTTCAGTTCCACGACTTGTTTAAGGTACAGCCGCTTTCTACAAACACATATTTTCAATACGTGTTTGTAACAAAAAGCCTTTCGTTAATCTACTGGGTGAAAGCCATTCCAGATCCAGGTCCCAAACAAAAAAGTAAAACAAAATCACCCTCCAATTTTGAGAATCGCAAAACAAATTTGGATTTCAGATTCTTTTACTTACGGTTTAAGCATGGGTTTTACTTATTTCAACCAAACTTCAGTTGTCTAGCCTTTCCAGGACATTATTCGAATATGCATAACTATTTAATGACCGCATATGCATATATTACATGTTAAACAATAAATACACGTAATTCACAAGCCTTTTTAAAGCCACTGCTAGAGAAAAGCACGTTAGTTGTGGGGGTTGTTCGACCATACTTCATTGTGCTGAAGGGGGGGCTCCAGGACCAGTTTTGATATCACCCACCACTGACATTACCTGTGGCTGCGACTCGAACTTAGATCACAAAGTCCGTAGCGCAATGCACTAACCACGACACCACCACTTTATAAAGAATACAAAATTAGTACTTGTATAAATACTTACAAATATATGATTGCCTTTCTACCAAAATTCTGTACATATACCCAAATATTTTCAGGGTATACTAAAAGTCTTGATAATGCGATATTGAAAGTATGAATACACTCAAATATGCATTTTGTTAAATGCATTACTACGTGGCGTTATATATTTTTGTTTATTTGGACACCCCAATGTGATTGCATTTAACATATAAAGGTCAATATTTAATACATACCACTGTAACCAATGATTATTCTGTTTAACAACACTGTACAACATTTCTAAATTCCTTTTTTTTCTGGGCAGTTATAACTGCAGCCAAAAGAAAGTCTGCTTTTAAAATGCCATTAAAGAGAATGATAATTATCATTCTTTTCACAGTAGCCAATCATGTTTGTATGTAACCATATGTTACATTACATATGTATACTCAAACCTAAGTAAAAAAGTCAGTGATCTAGTATTGAAATGAGCATTGAGGTGGTAAAACTATAAACATTTTTTTTATTTTGCCAGGTAAGGCCCACTGAGCAATAGAGCTCTTTTTCAGAAGCGATCTGGCCACAAATGATAGCCCAATTAAGTGGTTTATCATGTGGAATTTTAGAGCAACCAAATAATCTAAACTCTTGTTTCTAAATGTGGAGGGAAAACCCGTATCACCCGGAGAAACATCCACGCGACCACGGGGAGAACATGCATACTCCAAATATACAGGCGTCAGGGTCAGGATCAGGATCAGGATCGAACCCACAACCTCCTGCATACGAGGGGAGGTAGTTAACATCTCGCCACAACGGTACTCATCACGTGCTTACAGTCATGAGACAGTTGTGCATGACCAGGGTTCATCAACCAAAATAACAAGAAGAGGCATATTTTTCTAATTCCGTCAGAAACTCAATATTTCAAAAGCCGCAATGCATGTGAATACGAGACGATCATTAATACGTAACGTCACGAATCGGGCCTTAAAGAGCTGCATACCGCTCCAAAGAACCGCAGGATGTCGACCTCTGCACATGACTATGGTGTCGGTGAATGTTCTCCATCGGACAACCGCTTATGACTTCCTCACGAAGTGATACCCTGGAAGGATGATGCGATGATGAGTTGAGTCAATCCGATTGCGAGCTTCTCGCTCTACCTCCGAGACACCACTCTAGCTCTACACAGAGTATTTATTTCAGTAAACGATGATTTTCACAGACATATCACCAGGTCTCCGTTGGCAACCGATTAGCACGGTTGGCTGCGTACGGTCCGAAAGAGGTTCAACAACATACTTTGAAAAACATACTCTTATGGGTTTTTTTTTTCGGGAAAGTCACGTAGGAAAATAATAACAATAATAATAAATAATAAAAATATTAATAGATTTAAACTAATAAATCATTATTTTACTTCTGTTATTATTTCTATTTTTTATTATTATATATTTTTTACCTACGTGACTTTACCGAAAAAAACCTAAGAGTATGAATCCTTGCAGTCACGAAAGCTTCAAATCTAGAATACTTTGAAAAAGACAACGTCAATGGGCTCTTGTGAAATAAAGAATTTTGACAATAAGCCACGTGACTTTATGCATAGAGGGGAGCATCCATAAACGTATATTGTGTATAATTCCACACATATATAACACATACTTATATGGGTTGTACATTGCAATCTGTGCATGTAGCCATTCATACATACATCAAATGCCTAGGCCTGTGTTGATTTATATGACTGTAAAATCAACACCCGTTCAGAATCAACACTATGCGAGGCTGTACAAACAAAACACAAGCTGTCGTCTGCACACTCTGCATAGGTTATAAAGTGCATTCCTTAGTATTGCAGCATTATACGGTCATACCTCTGTGAGCAACATTTAAATAACATGCTTTGTGCATTGTATTGGCAATTTTCAATGGTGAGACATTCACGTGTCACGTTTGCGATGAGGCAATCTGCCATTACATAATGAGTAACCTGAAAGATATAAATTATGACAAGTATATGCCGACCAAATAAAAGGCAAATTAGATGACCGATTATATTTTTTGCATATAAGAGCCAATCTATTACATCTGAGCATGATGAGAGATGGCGATGGCTTGGGTAGGTCCTCAACCCTGGAGTGTATTTACCACGGCTGATGATGATTATGATGATCCACTAAAAGAGACCACTGGGCATGTCCATAAAAGGCCAGTCTATCCTTTAGGATGTTATGGGTTTGGCTAATATTCTTAGGCCGTGGTTCTCAACCTTTGTGGTATGATGCCCCCCCAATAAAGACCACTGATCCCCCCCACCACCCCCAGCCCCTGTACCACCTCCCAGATGACAAAAGCCAGAATACACAGGCAGATGTCTACGCCTCTAGTCAATGCACTGTTAGTAAAGCATTTGTGTCATGTTGTGTATTCGTGTGCTTTGTTAGACATTTGCTTGATGCTGTGCATTCGCGCGTGTTGTTGTACGCAGCGTGGCGTTGACGTACGATTTCGGAATATCTCCTGCACGGTCTCCGTGCCGCAGCCTACGCTCACCCTGAAAAGCTTTTGGGTTTCCCAGTGGGGCTGAGCACCCTACGATTTTAGAAACGCAGTTCTAACGTTCGTTTCAGAAGCGACTGTGATGAGCAAGGAAGTAGCCAACGGCCAGGGTTTTTTTGGTGATGTTTGATGCTATCTTTTATTTAAACAGGCGAAGACCCAAACAAAGCCATTTCCCTTTTGTAAAGAACACTTGGGTAACTTGGTACAGTAGTTATGTAAGAACAGTTCTTACAACAATAACACGCAGTGATAACACAGGTCTTGAAAACTTTACTATTTATTAAGATGACACATATTAGATCAACACTTTTAACATTTTACATGTGGAATGTATTGTAATGTTAGCTCCCTATATTTTCAGCATTTGAAGGCATTTCCAGAAATTGTGTGAGGTGATAACAGGATAACGTATAATTAGCATTTAGTAGGGAACACGCGTCTACGTAATACAAAACCCGTGAACATTTGTTAAAGGAAGCAGATTTACCGTACTTTTCGATAATTGCAGCTTATACAAATCCACATTGTGTATTACATTACAGTACATTATGAGCGAATACATGTCTTCACATGTGCACACAGAAAGTAAACCAACACATATTTTTTTACACATCTCTCAAAGATTTGATAATGTTTTGCTTTACACTAAAATACAGAGTGCAGCATTTTCTGGTGATGGTATAAACAATAATCTTCGTTTACGCAGGAAGATCAAAGAGTATTTAAAACACCTTTTCAGGAGGGTGTTGCTCAGGGTGTAATAATAAACATCATAGTTCTGCTCTAGGAAGCACATTTCTAATCCTACGGCGCAAAAATGCCCTTGACACGCACGACTAACACAACTAACGATACGTTAATCCCCGTAATACTCGAATGGCTAATAAACGCCTCCAAACAACATTTGACATTGCCTATTGTTATACCTGTATGCATAAAGCGCCTCCCCACCCACCCATTTCAAGTGAATAAAAACGATGCCACCCTTTGGTGAGTTGCTGAGTGCAGCCCCTGTGGGGCATATTTGGTCAACGTCTTTTGTTTCTCTGACGTCTCTGACCCGTCGGACCGTGCAATGGTGCAGCTGCATTTGTTTATTCGAGCCTTGACGGGCTCAGCCCTCTTCTCTGTGGAGGGGAGCAAAAAGAGGGCTCTTTTTGGGACAATCTACCCAGTAATGCGTGAAAGGACGTTTGGTTTAGAGCTTTTTCACGTGCGCTGTGTTATTATTTCATTTGTTTGGATACTTTTGCTCGAGGTGCATGGTCTACACTTGGGCGTGTGTGAGTGATCATTGCCTGACCATGATGCAAACGTTTAAAATATTTGCACAATTATTTGCACACCTTGCTTTGAACCCAGCCTCATGAGTTGCATTCCTGGCCACGGATAACGTCAGTGGCAAATTATATCTTAACGTGTTCTGTGCCTCCCATAGGTCAATGCAGCCTTCAATGAGCACTGCAAAGTATAATTCAGTAATTAATTAATTACCTTTAAAGCCATTTGTTAATCCACATCTGGATGAAGGCCTCCCCATGCTGGTCAACTCGGGTTGGTAAATGGGAGGTTTACATATTTAATGGGTTCGGAGCGAGATTCGCTAATCAAATTATAAAAAATAAGAGTTTTTTTTTGGGTTAGATC